ATCGTGCTTTGCTCTGCTTTGTATGTGTTGCCTGTTGTCATCATGCCCAAATGTGGGGTTCCCGGCTGTACGAGTGGCTACAAAAAATGAGAGACACCACGACATTTCTTTTGTGCCCCGCGTGTACCTGAGCAGTGAAAGGCGTGGACCACGCTATTGCTCGTGCTGATAAGAAACTGCCCAACACATTGCGTGTGTGTGATATGCACTTTTCATGAGGAAGACCTCCTGAAGAATTTCACTCACATCATCAATGGTAAGAAGGTACAAATCGCGAGAGGAATGTGGGACCTTGTCGAAGGATGCGTTTCATGGACGTTTTCGAATTTGCCCGCTTACCTTTCAAAACCCGTGACAAAGGAGCGAAAGCTGCCCGATAGGAGTGGGGTACTTTCCAGAATATCATCGGTGAAAAAGAACAGACTATCTCCGAGAACTGAGCTCGAAGACAGTGAAACAAGCCCCGACATGCCGTGAACGAGTGGCGCCATTTCGCTTCAAGACATAGAAAACTGTTTGCCTGCTGCATGCTGGTGGAAAGTTCTTGAGAATGGCGAGACAGGACGTCTTGTGGTGTTTGGACTGCTGAAAGAAGAAAAAAGAGCACTATTTGTAGAGAAATGCCTAGTCGTCACGCAAGACATGGCAATCACTATTAGGAGCCGTCACCATCGCTTAGCCAAGTCGCCCGGCAATGCAGATACCATCACCAAATAGGCCGAACTTCTGGAAGACATAGAAAAGCTGGAAGTGTGTTCATCCCAATGCCTCGGCAGGCAGCCTCCTGAGTAATGAGTGACTACGAAGTGCTCTCTGATACCTTAAAGTGTGGTCCCATGCTCGACGCTTTGGCTTCAGCTGCATTAACAGGTTTCATTAGAAGAACTCATAAAGAAGCAGAGGAAAGACATGCACGAGAAAAGAGCCGCACGCGCAGCTTTTCGACGGTGTATGTTGCTAAAGAATGTGACTGACATGAAAAAACAAAAAAAAAAGCTGCATGACTACACAACCAAACAAAAGCCACGGGATCGCGCCACATAGTTGTAATTTATTTTATGGCTCGAAAGCCACAGTCACAAGAAAAGATACAAGACATTGTGATTGGGTTTCTCGCGTTTAGAAATCAAATGCGAATATACACCAACTAACGGACAGACTCGTGTAGCATCGTTTATCGTGGGCAGTTCCGAAAGCCATAATTATACTGTATTTGCCTTACACCGCTAAATATTACGCAGTAATAAGTTTCTGCGGCAGAACAACAACAAATCGTGATAATATACTTTTGGCAACGCTCTTCCAGAACGGCCGCCACGGCGTCTTGCTACGGCGGCTACGCGTTTTTGTCTGCTAGTGGAAGCTTGTTGCGTCGCCGGCGCCACCAAACTGGAAGCTGTCCCGGCGCCGTATGACGGGCCATCTGATGTGAGGAGTTTTGCAACTTACCTAGTTCTAGAAACGTTGATGGAGAGCACCTTAGTAACCTGCGCTTCGCCGATGACATTGCATTGCTGAATAACTCAGGGGACAAATTGCAACTCATGATTATGGAGTTAGACAAGGAGAGCAGAAAGGTGGGTCTTAAAATTAATCTGCTGAAAACGAAAGTAATGTAGAACAACCTTGGAAGAGAGCAGCGCTTCAATATAGGTAATGGTGCACTTCAAGTTGTCAAAGACTATGTCTACTTAGGGCAGGTAATAACCGCGGAGCCGAACCGCGAGATTGAAGTAACTAGAAGAAAAAGAATGGGGTGGAGCACATTTGGCAGGCACACTCAAATCATAACAGGTAGACTGCCACTATCCCTCAAGAGGAAGGTATATAACAGCTGCATCTTGCCGGTACTTAGCTATGGAGCAGAAACTTGGAGACTTACAGAGAGGGTTCAGCTTAAATTGGGGACGACGCAGCGAGCAATGGAAAGAAAAATGGTAGCTTTAACCGTAAGAGACAAGAAGAGAGCAAAGTGGATTACGGAACAAACGGGGGTTAAGGATATTATAGTTGAAATCAAGAAGAGGAAATGCACATAGGCCGGGCATGTAGCGCGTAGACAGGACAATCGCTGGTCATTAAGGGTGGCTAACTGGATTCCCAGAGAAGGCAAGCGGGTTAGGGGGAGACAGAAGGTTATGTGGGCAAATGAGATTAAGAAGTTTGCAGGTATAAATTGGCAGCAGCAAGCACAGGACCGCGTTGACTGGCGGAACATGGGAGAGGCCTTTGTCCTGCAGTGGACGTGGTCAGGCTGGTGATGATGATGATAGGGATGGTGATGTCTGCGTCGGCGGCCTCTTACTGTCGTTGCCAGCAGATGGTGCCGTCTTCGCAGTGTTGTTCCGGCTCACTGTCTCACCGGGGAGGCCAAGATGGTGGCTCTTCTTCATGGCTCCCGATTTCTTTTTTCTCTCACCCTTCAGGGCGATTACCTTATGGGTGCGAAAATTCGCCGCACACTCTCGTGAGTTTGTTGCATGTTCACCACCACATACTGAGCACGGAGGAATACCCTCGTGAGAGACCCACACCCCCTCCACAAGAGGAGCTCTTGTCCGCAGAGTCCGCACAGGTTGGGCTGTGTGTTGGGACATGCATCCGCTTGATGACCGACGGACCCGCACAGGCTGCAAGCTGAAGAGTCCTGTAGTATTTGCGCACCGGAATAAGCATGTTCTCATAATGTACAAAAGGCGGTTTCACTTTTTCGGCGAAGGTGACCCGAGTCTTGTTAGAGGATCTGAATTTCCTCACCTCGACGATGGTGCGTGCTTTCTATTGCACCTGCTCTGGAAGCGATTCAGTGGTTTCTGAGTTGCTGACGGCGATGACTCCGTTCGGAGATATCCATGGAGCGGGATCACCCCACGCTCAGTGTTCACTGAAAATTCGAGAAGCCGATGGGCCGCCGCTGGGTTCAGGGTGTGGATCAACACAATGTTTTGCTCACGAGATGGCACAACCGTGAATAACTTTGTTAACTCGGGTCCGAGGTAGGCCGTAAAGGCGGCTTTGTAGCGGTTCTCCAAGAAAGCTTGGTGCAGCGAGACATGTTTGCGTGGCTTGAGCACGACCACGAAGTCCTCTGGGCCTGGTTTTGGGAATGGGCGAGGCATCCAGTTCGTAATAGCCTTGCCTTTGTCTCCTGCAGCCCACGATACTGGAGGCTGCGTCTTGCCTGCCGGGGTTCCGGAGGCTGAGATGGCGTTGGACGCCGCTGTCTTTGCTTGAACGGACGTGTGACGCGCGACCGCTTCATTTAGCGATTGCTGCCAAAAACTCGGAAGCAGGGGAGTTGTCGTCTTGAGAGGATGGAACTGTAGTCCAAGCCATGCCTTCGGGATCATAACCCCGCAGGTGAAACGCAGTGGCTGCCATGTTACCTCGGGTGGCCGGTGCGACCCCGTCGACGTTCCAGGTTACCACGTTCCGGCGTCGCCGTTAGGCGTAATTTGTGCCCCTTGTGGCTGGGTGAATTTCGGCCATAATGACTTTAAATGTGGGCCCGCTGGGTCGAAGCTGATTCTAACGGGGTCCAGACGACTTGCTGAGTCGACGGATGTCGGGCTTGGCAGAGTGCAGTTGATTGAGGTGTGGCTCCAGCCGAAAATCGACGGAACCGATGCGCCGCATGTCTTGCTTCATCGCGTGCTCTCAGCACCTCCCTAAAAGAATCTAATAGGGAGCAAAGCTTTGACCCGCGCTTTGGTGGCAGCCAGCTGCGTTGTCTCGCTCGTTCACAAGTGTCCCAGTAAGACATACATGAGCTGTTTTGAAGGAAATAAATTCTGCTAGTTGTGTTGATCCTTTGAGACTCTCACCGTAGTGGGAAACCCTACCTTCGTGTGTTCGGCCACTCCAAGCCAACCGAAACGCTGATGTTTGCGCTTGCGATTGAGACCCCCACCCCCTCTTGTTTTTCGTGATGTTTTTTGTTTGTTTGTTCTTGGGTTTTTTTGGTGCCAAAAAAAACTAGAAGCAAGTAATTTAGCCCCTCGCCCCCTCCTTGCTGCGGAAATCTCCTGGATTCAGTACCCTTAAACTTGTCACGAATGTGCATGGGAACAAAAGAGACTTCGTCGTCCACACGGGTCAAGAGCAAAGCCGTCAAGGTCCCCTTCTTTCCCTTCTTTCCCCTTCTTGTCCCTGTTTGGGACAAGAAGGGGAAATCTTACTTGGAAGCGCATCTTGCAAGAATCAGGTCAAGCACGGTTGTCTGAGTAGTTATTGTTGGCATGCACGTGTGCCATTGGGAATGCCGCAGGAACGCGGTCACTGGGCTGACCGAGATATAATTGCGGCACGTAGACGAGCTTTTACTCCCCCGCTATACGTCATTACAGAGTGTTGTTAGGATGGCGGGGCGCCTCGCTGTTGCATGCACACTTGGTCAGCGCATGGTGTGCTCACCGCTCTAAAGGAGGCTTCTACGAAATGACGTTTAATCAGAGCTGACGGAGCTTGAGCGTGACGACGGCTACCGGCGCAGGTCAGCCGGCGAAGGTCAGTACAGCTTGACATGGGAGAGAGTGTGACAGGCTGAGAACCTATCCCCTCTTGTGTTGTATTTGGCAACGTGGTTTTTACCAATACATTGTCTTTTATGAAAGTATTGTGGCGATGCGTTGTGGCGATGCGAGCCCACATGGTTTGTGTGGAGACCCTTTGTTCAACCGAGGGTTGAAAAGAGGGTGTTTGAATGTGGAATAAAGAGGTTCAAGCTTGGACCGAGGCAGACGCCCGAGTGCTGCAATAAAGGGTCTCTTCACTGGGCTACGGCTCTTCCTTCGCGCTGCCACCGAGCACTCGAGTCATTGAGGGGCCCCCATTCCGAACATCAACACATTCCGAACAGAAGCTAGCCGAGGAGTAGGAAATTAACTAGTGATACTAAAATTTTCTAGGCTTACTGTATCGGGTCCGAAACTCTTGATGGAACTTGACATTTCTGAGGTGATCGAGCACACTACGTTGGCGAATGGACGATTGTCACGCAGGATGGTGACGGAGCAGTTGTCGGCCGCCCGGGAAGAGAGCCTGCAGCTGCGACTGGATGTGGCTCGGAAGGAGGCTGAACTGAAGCACGTGAAGGAGCGGCTGAAGCTAGCACAGGACAGTCTCGAGCCACTAAGGCAGGAGGCTACAACACTGCGTGAGCGCTCGCACCACCTGGGCGACACCCTTGTGCAACACCAGCAGGCACTGACAACCCTCAGACAGGTTCGTGTCGCTCTGTTATTACTCCTTTAATACCTGAATTATGGAACTGCCAAATAAAATATTGTTTTCACTTTACAGTTTTAAACCATTTAATGACTCCACATTTAAATTATCTAAAATGCACCTTTAACGCATACTTTTAGGTATGTCGCGAATTCTCCACATGCCACATCAGCAGGAACCTTGCTAAGAAAAACGTGCTTCAGAACTATTCTACATGTCGTGTGCCACGTCTTGAGCACATACACACCATATGAACAAAATTATTGAAAATGGAACTTGCGCCAGCCAGCCGAGAAAAAAAAAAAAAATCAAGTGAGCGCTCTTGCACGTGCTTCGTGCTCTCTGCCTTCAGCTACAAAACAATTGGTTCTAGCATAAAATACCTTGGACTAGTCGGCGCTAGATTTTTTATGCTGAGGGCTACGTTCACAGTGAGTACTTGACAGCCGGCATTACATTTCATCACTTGCTTGCTCAAAATTTTGGGGTATGTCGTGAATTTGTGGCACGAGGCAGTAAAGGGTAAAGAGTACTGACATGATTGCGAGGCTTTGTACTTTTCGTGCTCTTGTTAGGCAATGCTTAACACTTGGTGAGCAACATTGGGTGAGTTGGTGCATAGCTTACCGAGAGAATCGTGGTGCTTTCATTCTCTCCACACCAGAGTCGGTCGGACAATAAGCATTATTGTTTTCATGTGTAAAGGAGACCCAGGAGGCGCGTGCCGAACGCAAAAACGCGGCGACGGTGCACGAGGAGAAAAAAAGTAATCCGAGTGCACGCGCACCAGCCACGTAGACGCTAGGTAGGTATTGGTTGGAGAAAGGCTTGTGGCAGGCGGCCCGAGCCAAGAAGGAAAATTCCAGAGGATGAGCTGGCACTGTGTGTTAGGATGCCAAGTTGCAAAGACTTGGGAAACAAGTGTTGCTACTGCGACGGAAGCCGCATAGCCAACCCGTTTTGATGGGTGTCAGTGTGAGAGGCTCGGGGGAGTGGTCGTTGACCTTGGGGGTCCTGAGTGAGGCTGCCCATACTTGCCCCACCCTTGCACAGCAGTTCCTGGTTGACTTGCAGCTTTCCCACTTTGCGGCAGGATGGTGGCAGCCCACACCAGTCAGCAGAGCGGACTTGCCATAAAGAGAGTCCCAGACGAGGCTAAGCCTAGCCTAGCAAGGTAAAAGAAGACGAAGTCTGGGACACCAGCGGTGAGGACGAGTGGTTCGTTCGTCAGGACCAACTGACAACAACAGTAAAAGTTCGAGGAGACTGTCAACGACGTAGTTGACAAACCTCAACATGGCATCGGAGAGTAGTCTACATGAATCATTAAATGGTTTGATGGTTGAGAAGCCATATTAGATTAGAAAGAGTGGCTAGGGCTAAGAACGAATTTAGACTGGTTTGTAGACTATTTTGCTTGTATTGGCATTGGGGTGGTTTTGTGCCCGCGAGTGTTGTTTCCGTTTTTGCTTTTGATTTTTCGCCTTTTATCTTTTGAGTTATAAATTGTGTGTTTTTTGCCATGCCCATCTCCCGACTCTATGAATTCTATTTGATGCAAGCGCTCCCGAGATAAGTTCATAACAATCGGGCTCTCTCAATTAAAACACATTCATATTGAGTCGTCCATTTTCCGAACACCCACTATAGGAGACACCCACTGGCAGAGTTATTCAATCATATGAGTTGCGAAGCTGCATTTTGAAACCAGGACACGCCATTGACCGACCTAGCGGGAGTGAGCTGATCATCGCGCCATCTGGGAGCGACAATACAAAACACTGCATTGCCGCTTGTGCGTGCGCTTTTATTTTTTTAGGCAGCTCAATGCCGCACGCAACACTGGTGTTGTCGCCTCAATTAATGGCCTTAGCTTGCACGGCGCCCGCCACTGCTGTCAGCTGTTCTCGCTCTGCAAAGACGCAATCAAAGCCGGGTCAAAGCATCAAGGTTTATTTCGTCGAAGGTGGTGCTTGCACATTTGTGCTACCATGGTTTTATAAACGCTGCGCCCTGATTATTTCTATTACTCCTCGCTTGCTCATTTGAATATGTGCGCTTGAGATCGATTGCTCACGGGAAGTTTGACCAATCCTTTTAACTGTTCTACTCTGCGGTTGATGATGTGTCTCACTAACACGAAGGGAGTGATGGCCACACAAACAAGACACGGATACGGTAGAGTGCAAACCAAAGCACAACAGTACCGATCAGTACTTACCGCGAATTGGCCGCTTTGTCTTGCGTGCAGCGGTCGAATTCCCCTAATCGCGAAGTCAATGAGACATCGGCTGGGATACCATATAATTATGAAAGCCTGATGACAAGAAAGTGGGAACTCGAACATTGCTATTTACTTGCAACTAGCACTGCAAGCGTTATTTTCTCTTCAGGTGCTATGTTCGTGGAGTCTTTCCAACGGCACCGGCGTTTGCTGCTCGGGCAACGCCGTCTGCTGCCGTCGACAGATTCACAGGTTGGATCCACCCGGATCAACGCTGCATCCCGCTTGCATCATGCCTTGCCGCTCACTATTTTGCCGAAATGTAAACATCGTTAGCTCGTCACATGAATCTGATAAACTGCCGACTTCGCTGCATTGTCCATTACGCTGTGCTAGCTGTGTACCTACCACACGAACATGCCGCTTATAGCCACGTTACTTCTAGCGCATTGCGGAAAACATGACAAAGGGCACAACATCAAGATAACAAGCAGCTCCTCTGTCCCTTATAGCGTTTCCACCAATGCGACAAAGTAACACGTTCAGTACCCTTAGGCACCAACTCACCTAAGAACAATTTCTAGGCGCTGTGATACTGTTAAGCAGAATGCGGCGGCGCTCACAATAACTCAAAAACACAAAATATTGCACTTTCTAGTTAGTTTTCTTGTCAAGAGATGGTGCTACAATCTACTCACATCCGCCATTTTAGCCAATGTTGTGTTCGCATTTTGATACATGGAGCCTATGGGAAGTTTCGCAACTCGTATGATTGAATAACTTTGACCCACTGAGGGCAGCAATGTGCTCGATTATGTGTTGGTCTTCAAGTTTCTGCAGCCAAGCCAGCACCTGCTCATAAAGGGTAGAGGGCAGCTGTCGCAGCTTATTGGCAACGAATGGAACTATGTCAAAGCACCAACTCGCCCCACAGTCAGCTCATTTGAGTGGAACGGACTTGCGAACATTAAAACTTGGTGTTCAAATCCTTTGGAAAGTTCTAGCAGTTTGTCAAAGAGATGTTTGTACTCTGAATGTAGCTCAGCTGGCTTGAGGAGTGCTGGAGGTCAATGCAAAACACTGAAGCGGTTTACCTTCAGTGTTCATCTGTAGTGCTGCAATTTGGTCTGAGCCCAATACAGTGGTGCCTTCAGATACAACATACAGATGAATGCAAACAGTTCTGTCTTGAAAGTACTTTCTCGAAACGCAGAGGAAGAGACAAAACATTCTTGAACTATTATCTTTGAGTTGTAGTTGTCAAAAAGCTGCATAGAGGTGGGCTTCAAGGGGCGAATGTTTGCAAAAAAACTGACGGTAGAGTTCTCTAGCCAAAATAGTGACAGAAGATACTGTATCCACTAGAAAGGAGTTACCGTATTTACTCGCATAATCCTCGCACTTTTTTTTTTTGCCAGAAAACCGATGCAAAGTTGGGGGGTGCGAGAAATACGCGGGGAAAACTTTCCACGAAAACACAGAGAGGGAGAAAAAAAAAAAAAGAAAAAACGAAGTGGCCGCAAATCGGGATTCTCACACCAGCAACTTACAGCAAGCTTTACAAAGTACTAATTAGAACTTACCTCAACAATAAAAGCAGAGGTTCAACACAAGGCAAGATTTATGTGAGACATAAAAAGTGGAAGCAAATAGTCGAGAATTAGAATACCATACGCGAAGCTTGTGGGCGTTGCGGGCGTAGCGGTAGCGGTCGGCGCTCAACAGGAGCCCTCAAAAGGTAAGCGTAGGGCGTCAGTATTGGGATGATGGCTATTTAACAGAATCGTCCGCAGTTTCCTTCTGAAGAAATAAAGTTTACCATCAATCCCAGTTTTAGGCACACGGTAGGCCCAACGCGTCTTGGTGGCTTTCAGCTGCCGTCACTAGTAGCGAACACAAAGCTCGTAGGCTCCGAAGGGCCTACCGGCGGCCCTGTTGCCATTGTTTAGCGTATGATCTATCACTTGCAACTTGAAGCAGCCGTGTGGCTTCAGTATCGCCCCATAACGTGCCAAGATTACCGACACAACACACAAAACACGCCGCAACGCGCACTGGCCACTTCGGCTTGGCTTAGATTGGATTGGATCTCCGTGCAATACGTTTGATGCTTAAGAGATCGCGCCAGATGGTGCGCGCTATCATCTTCAATGGCTGGAACGAGCAGACGACATTATTGCGGCAGTTTTTGGGGGTGCGATAATTACTCGAGGAAAAAAAAAGTCGTATTTTTTGGAGGGCGATGTGGGGGGTGCGAGAATTATGCGAGTGCGAGGATTACGCGAGTATATACGGTACATAGTGCAACCTTCCACAGTGACAGATGCGCAAATGCCAGGCCTGTGTCCCTTGACAACACAGACTGTTTTTCCACTACAGTGTGAGCTAGTGTTGCCATCGTCATCAACTTCTCGAATTTTCGCTGAATTTCCAGACGACCTGCACATACAAAATACACGTCCCAATTTTCTCGCAGTGGCGACATCTGCGTTTGCCGGGGCTTAAAAGCAAGACTATTCGCAAGGTGATCAATCGCACTACAACGATAAAAAGCTTGAGGGCGTGAGGTGACTTTGGCTTTGCACATGTCCCAACGTGGGCACTCGTTTGCTTGTTTCGAAGACAGAGAAGAGCATTGCGTTTTTTTTATGTGACGAACTGAAGCATCATCACATAATTCCTTAGCTTGAACCGTGACTTGTTCGCATTGATTAGTCGTTGTGATGGCTCATGAAATTGTCAATGAGGAACCTTCAAAAAGTAACCGCTTGCTTATAAATCATGATCATAATATTCGAGATGAGCTGATCGTGCAACATCTCTTCAGTCTGACTTCCAAAAGTACAATCAGCAATGAGGACTTCCAGAGCATCGACATATTCTTGTACCGTCTCACTTGCAAACATTGTCGTGCCACGATGACATTGACTGAACGCTTGAAATGGTTAGAAAGCCAGGCAATCGCAAAATCATATGCGTTGTTTGTTGACTTGGTGTCACTTGTATTTGAGGGGCCAGCAACAGTAGCAGTAGCAAAGCCAGACAGCAAGTCCGCTGGCTTCAGTGTCGACAAAATTGGCAGCCCCTCCATGGGGGGCGAAAACAGGTGAGCAGGATCGCTTTTTTGCATTTCGCTGGAAGATCTGATGCTCCAGAAGCCACCATGAACGTCCGAAAGGTTTGCTTCCACTGGTACCATGGGAAAGCCAGATGACTAGGCAAAGGCAGGAAAAGCAGTGCGGTTGTAAGCCTGGAATCTTGCTCTAGCAAGCTCTCATGGGATGAAATCTTGTTCTCATCTTCTTGCACTCTCTTTCTCTTTTTCTTTTATCTCACTTTCTTTTTCTATGTAATTTTGTATCTTACTATCTTCCTTCTCTCTCTTTCTCTTTGTGCTCGTTCGTTCACCCATCAGCGTCATTGCATTCTACATCGGGCAAATTGGTGCCTAGGAGCGTAGCAGAAGAGGGTCAAGGGAGTGTGTGTCACTTCAGGATGATGCTTTTCTGATGGCTCTGCACGGCATTGTGAAAAATTTGGCAGCGGTGCTGGGGTTAGTCTGTTGGGAATCTTTTTTGATGATCCTTCTCATTTCCACCTCGTTTGTGCAGGAGCTCTCGTCAGCGCAGGAAGCAGCGTCTCGCGCAGAGGTGCTTCTCGAGAGTGCACGGGCTGAGCGTGACCAGCTACGTGAAACAAACATGCGCCTGGAGCGTGACCTGGCGGCGCTGCGTCAGGAGAAAGGGTCCCAGGTAAAGTTTGTTAAACGTATGTTAAAAGTGCACTAAAGGCAACTATGAAGTCGACGTTGATTGTTGAAATACCGTATTTATGCGCATAATTTGCACCCTCGCATAATTTGCGCAACCCTAATATTTTGCCAGCTTTTCAAAGAAAAACATTTACTCGCATGTTTCGCGCTCCCTGATGCGCTTGAGCCAGCTCGGCGGCGCTTGCACCTTTTGACGTTTCAATGCTTCGGCCGGGTGCGCGCCTCGCCGAGCAGACGAGCGCAGTCTAACAGGCTGCGAGTGTGACGTCTTTCTTCCGAAGACTTCTTCTGAACGAGGTCCCTAAAATACCACACCTGAGCACAAACCTGTTAACAGGTCGCCGAAAACGCTCGAGCGTTAGGCCAATCTTTACCACTGCAATAATGGCAAGTGTCCTGGCACGGACGACTTTCTGCATTGGAGGCGTGTGAGAGCCTGCTGTGCCAACTGTTCCCCTCGTTCTCTGCGTCCGCACTGCAAGGCATGCTTGGTTAATTTCGGAAGTTTAGGTTTTGCCTAATTTCGGAAGTTTAGGTTTGATTTAGTTTAGGTTTTTGATTTCCCGCACATGAGCGGGAAATCAAAATTGTGCTTTTACAACACCAAATGAACCCGGACGATCAAACAAGTCGAGGTATATCCTTTTTGGCGGCGCTGTGTACAATTGCACACATCAAATTCGTAGAAATGTCACTCACAACATACTCCTTCATTTTCTTTTCTCAAATGTATCATTGGGTGTCTTGGAATTATGGCATGCAAATTTGACGCATTTCCAGACAGTGCATCATAATTAGTGCCCGAAGGTGTTATTGAATTTACAGCCAGAATTCTGAATATACACATAGTTGAAAATTTTCGAATAGCTTTCACGGTCCTTTTGAGTGAATCAGACGACAATGAATAAGTGCGTAAATAAATGGATTCAGTTCCTGCCTTCCTCAAGCTCTATGTGTTCAGGTGAAAACATTATTGTCACATTCCCAAAGTACACCTCGAACACGATGTGAGTTCGACTTACACCCGTTTTTTTTTTGTTTTTTTTTTTACGGTGAATCTGAATACATGCTGCGGTGCTTGGTTGACCAAAAGCCATGATTTTTTTTTATTTCAGTGAGGGGGTGGAGGGAGGCTAGAGCACATTCTCTGGCTACGGGCATAGTACCATATAGTGTTAAAGATACGAACTGTACAGCTTATGTCACTTTAAGTTGACCAGTGAAAAGTCTGTCATCGACAAAAAACATGGTGTTGCAGCAATGTTGACCGAGGTTTGTAGCATCATAGTCTCGATTGTGGTGCTGTCATGACTGCACGGACAGTCAACGCTGGTCGAAAAAGTTCCTGAAAGCACTAGCTCACCATTTTAATGTAGCAGGTCACAACTACGGCGACCTGAAACTTTACGACCTCCAGTCTTGTTCCCAAGAGACAGAAAATATACAGCCGTACGTTAACAAGTTCAGTACACTTCAGTCAGCTGGTATAAATGTTTCAAAAGATGCTCTTGGGTCTATGCGATAATGGTACATACACAACAAAAGCCCATAAATGTGGGGGTATTATTGTTAAGTGGTGTTTTCTTTCACCAATAATTACACAGTGACACGTGTAAACCCCCCCCCCCCCCCCCACCTGCCTAACTCACTTCCACTGTTTTTTCCATTTTTTTTTTCTCAGAATACCTCGGAATTTCTTCTGATTCGCTGAATTTGCCCTGACATCCTCTCATTGCCCCTCCCCATAGAGTTTTCATTAGAAGGAACTTTGGGACTAGTGTTTATGGGAGCTGCAATGCGGAGTGCTTCAGACAGCATGGGAATGATGGGGAGTACACGGATTTGTTTCATTTTTTTACCTTTCGCTCCGGTTGGCCTTGCGGGGCTTGTAGCTGCTATGTTACAAAACAGCAATTGGCAAATGTTCAGCATTTGCACTTTTAGTCTTACCATTTGAAATCAGCTCACGAAATTCAAAAGGGTTTGTTCTTTCCTTCAAAACAAAACCGAAACAGCAATAAACAAAGCCACAAGTGCTATTTGAGGACCGCAAGTACGAAGTCTAGGCAAATTCGTGTAGTACCCATCATTCTCATGGTCGCTGAACGATCGCAGCACCAGTCCACTCTAGTTAATTTTAGGAAACTCTATGCACCCTCTCCTCTCCTGTGTTTAGATTGGAGGTACGAATCATGCACTGAAAAAATCATTTGCAGCCTTGAAGAAGACAAGTCCGCTCTATCACCCATCTTCCCCTTTGTGCCTTTCTTTTAGATGTCTCGTATCTGTTTTGCAGGCACTTTGCAGGTGACTTCTTAAGTTGTCGCCACACGCACACACACACGCACACACACCTCCGATGGTCGGGTCTCTCCAAACGCGCACCGGAAAGGAAGGCGCAGAGTGTCCTTTGTCTCTCTCCCCACGCTAAAACACCAATTCACAATCCCCTCCTCCAGCGAGAAGAAAAAAAAAGAAAACACGAAAAAAAAAAAACGTCAAGTAAACAAGAACACTCATATGACAATCAGCAGCAGTAACTTGGCGGAACCAACTTCTTTGCAAGCACTGGCTATAAAGATGTTAGCTAACTGAGACTAGACAGTAAAAATGAGGGCCTTCGGTTGCGGAAATAGCCCGCCGTCTGGCGCGAAATCACTCAGGTGACCGCTTACTCAGATTATACCAGTGCGTGGTTCGAATGCGGTTCGCCGCGCCGGGTGTGCGCCGTTGCTTGCGCGAAGAGCCACTGGGCGCTGGCGCAGGCTCGTCAGACCTCGACGCAAAGGCTTTCAGGTCTGCGATATGGGCACGGCTGAGTTTTCCTGAAAGCGGGTCTTTCAGCAAGTACGCGAGTGGAGTCCAAGCTTTCTCCACTCGGTACGGACCGAGCCACTTTGGAGCAAGCGAAGCTGAGAAACCCTTGCTCGCATCGCTAATAGCGTGGTTGCGCTTCAGGACGAGGTCACCTACCTTAAATGAAAGGTGGCGGCGTTTTCGGTCATACTGGGCCTTTTGCTCGGCCCTGGCCGATGCCAAACTCTGCCTCGCTCTTTTGAGCTCGACAAAGCCTGTCCCGAAGTGTTGAAGCGTAAGCAGAACAGTCTGCCCATTCTTCGTCGTCTCCGAGCTGGAATTGCATGACACTGGCCACCGTATTTGCCAACTACCTTCCGAAATTAAGGAAGGTGGGAGAGAAACCAGTAGAGCGACTCTCAGAGGTTCGGATTGCAAACGCGAGTTCGCTCGAATGGTCTGCCCAGTCCTTTTGACTTTCGGCAAAGGCCGCCAACGCCCTTTGTGCCTTTCTTTTAGATGTCTCGTATCTGTTTTGCAGGCACGCATCCTTTCCAACCTGCAGACACTGCAGATCAACTTGGAGCGCATGGATTATGAGCGCAACGCTGCTGACCAGGCCAAGGTGAGCGAGGCTTCTTGTGTCATTTTTGTCAATGAAAAGAGGTCTGCATTCCCCGGGAAAAAAATTATGCAAATATTCTGACTGTAATATAAACACTGCATTGTTTTAGTGCGAACTGAAGATTCCATGTAAAATTTTGTGTCTCTGGCGAAAGCTGAGCTGAATTCTCATAATTCATGCTTGCTTTTTTTTTAAGCTGTGTCAGTACAAAAACTCATTGCAAAGTAAAGTTAAATGATAGTCAGAGTGGAAATCAAGTTGAATAATTTTCTAATATTTTTTAATATCTTTTAATAAAGAGCGTTTCTCTGTGTAGAAATTCCCCACTTCTACTAGCTCCTCCACTCAGAAACAACCATACAAAAAGTAAATGTTTGAAGTGCGTATCGAGGCTTCCACTTGGCTGCATCAGCCAAGTTGCTCTAGTGTCTAGCGATTGGCCTGTTTTCTACACGAACACTGTAATAATGCCAAGGCTTCCAGGGTGAATTCAATGTCTAATGAATCAAGTTGAAAATTTAAAAAGTTGTTCCTTCATGCATTTATTACAAATGTAGGCCTCATTAAACTTGATTTATCTTTTGAAAGTTATACTCACGGTGGCCATTGTCAAAACTCGGATATGTCAATTCCTGCAATTCGTTCAGTGTAATGATGGTACCCCCAAATTTGTTTTTTTTGTCTGTATACAAAGTGCAATGGTAGTGCACGTTAAACACTGCTGTAGAACTTTGTTCTTTCGTTCCAGTTGGTATGAAGTCAAAGCTTTCATGCTTGCAATTGTGAAAACTGAAAGTAACCCAGTAAGATATATGCTAACCTGCTCTGGTTAATGCATCCCCGGAAAGAAAATATGATTGTTCGGCTGTAACATTCACTGCTGAGTCAAGCTGCGGTCATACAGTGCATTCTGCAGTCAAGAATTCGCATTCAGGTGTGCACGAAGGCCTCTCTTGTGTACATGTGAACCACGAAGTGGTGGGCTGCCACAACGCGGCAACAGCATCTTCTCTGTAGTGCCTAATTTCCCACCTTGCACTTTCTCTGCATTGCTCAATCGTTTCTTCTGTCTTCTCATTCTATCATTTCTTCCGCATGATCTCTCAATTGCTATATCGCCCCCTCAGCCATTGGGCCAAGCTGTCTGTTAATCATATACCAACCCGAAGGTAGGTGGCCCGGTGGCTGACAAAGTTTTAAACAATTTTCAAAAAATGTCTGTGTAGTATCCTTCTTCCCGTCCTGGTCTGGGACAGGCGGTGATACTGCGCCGTTCGCTGGGCTTCTGCGATTTCTTCCAGCGTGTTGTGAACGCCCAACGCGAGCATGCGTTCCGTGTTGGTGTGGGGGTATAGGCCCAGGGCCGTCTTGTACGCCTTTGTGATCATCGCGTCAATCTTGATCTTCTCCGCTGCTTTCCAATTGTGGAATGACGCGACGTAGGAGATGTGGCTGACTGCAAACGACTGGGTGAGTCGTAGTAGACTGTCTTCTCGCATGCCCTGGTACCGCGGGATACTACAACGCTTCGGAATCAACGCGCCAGCGACGACTCCGGAGGTACCAAAGCAGCTAGCCCGGGACGTTCTCCAAAAACTGAGGGTTCCACCCTTACCGAAGCACATGCATCCGCAAGTACACCAAGAAAGAAGAATAGCGAGAGCCACGGCCCTCACAAAAGGTCACGCCAACGATCCGCGCGCGTACTACGTGGACGTGGCAAAGTATTCCCACCGGCCAAGCACGTACGCAGCAGCAGTCATCGCAGCAGACACTGGAGTACTCACAACGTCGGGAAGCATACGGTGCAAGTCGCCCACGCAAGCCGAGGAGTTTGCAATCGCACTGGCACTAGCGATCCCGGATTGCCGCACGGTCCTCAGCGACTCGAAGACGGCAATAGTCAACTTTGCTACAAACAACGTCCATGGAACCACTGCAAGAGTATGTTCAACTATAGCAAGACCGGAAACCAACATTACCGTCAAGTGGTTCCCTGCGCACGCCGGGGAGCTGGACGTGGGTCCGAACCGCAACGAGGAGGCAGATACGGAGGCACACGCGCTAACTAGCCCCGGGTCTCTGTCAACGCATTCCTCGGAGCCGCAACGACCCGATGCCGAAGACGGAGAGTATTTTATCACAACCTACGCCGACGTTCTGCAGTGGTACAGAACGAGCAGACGCCTCTATCCACCGCCTCATCGAGACCTACAACGCAGAGAAGCAGCCACACTGCGGCAGTTGCAAGTACAAGCCATATGGACCCCCCGTCTGGGCAAAGCACGTTTGCCCGGAGGTTTACGCTACTGATGTATGCCAACACTGCAAGAAGGCGCGAGCCACCCAGAGACACCTCCTCTGGGACTGTGCACCACTGCCGGGTAACCAAGAAGTAATGCCAACTGCCATAAGCAGCAAAATCATCACCCGAGAGCCAGGAAACCAAAGAGACGTGGTCCAGCACGTGCTTAGCATCCTGGAACGCCAGTGGCCGAAAGCGGCGCCCCCACAGGTTTGACGCGAGTAGGTTGCTGCTCTGGGACGTCCGAGCAGGCTAGTGTCTCGCTTTAATCCCCCTACCCCTTCCCCCTTTATGCCGGATCGTCAATAAAGTTGTTTCACTCACTCACTCAAAAAATGTCTCTCTTTTGTAGCACAGTGGTTTCATTCGCTGATGGCACTATAGGATGATTTTGCTGAGGTTCCACACCATTTTGGGGTGCAGACTGCGTGGCCACTACAACACCTGCCAGCAGAGCTAACAATGTGGCTTGTGCCACATTGTTAGCTCTGCTAGAAATAATGCTGTTGAACACCTCCAGTTCGGTATGAGACCTGCAGGATAACAGAAAGCTCTGTGCTGTAGGCAGAGCAGCACGAAGACGAATGCTCTCTGGGAGAAAAGTGTGGAGGAAAGACATCTGCTCAACCATATGCCTTGGACACAGTGGCAGCATCACTATGGTTACGTGGCACAGCGTGTTCTGTAGCGGTAGCGGCATGTGTACGTCCGTATATTTTGCACTCAACTTTGGCAGACTGGAGATGTTCGATGGCATCTATTCTTTCTGCGGCATTATTAGCTCCGCAGTAATCTTCCAGCTGTTGTTGTAGCTACGAGGCCAGAACTTCCTAAGAGAATTTGTCCTGGAAGATATCTGGAAGGTTTCTGGCTATCGAACTGTGAAAAGAGGCGATGCTTACTGTCATCTTTGAGAGAACTGGATAGATTGCAGTGCGGGCACTTGGGGACTTCGTCTGCAGTCGACATTATGCTTGGTTTTGTGTTCTAAAGTCCGTTTTACTGTGCGAGATGAAGATGATGCAGTTGCAAGTCGCAGTGAATATGCCTGTCCAAAGACAGAACGTAATCTGATTAACGAATGCCTGCGGCCTAGTACGCATTATCTATGGTCAAGTTTATCCTCAAGCTGTGGCTTTTTAGGCACTTTCGCAAGGTTTTGCATTGTGCTGTACCGTGATTTTTACATGCATTACACAGAGTTCAGCGTGTTGAGCCAACAGTGGCGTGGTAGTTTTGTAAATGGATAGGATGAGTCGCATGTGATCTTGTGAACGTACAGGATTGTATCCTAAATGCTCGAGAATATTGCTTCAGGTCTTCGGCAAACACAACAAGTTGAATGTTCAGCATTTGCACTTTTAGTCTTACCATTTGAAATCAGCTCACGAAGTTCAAAAGGGTTTGTTCTTTCCTTCAAAACTTTCCTTTAGCTCTATTTCCAAGCGGTAATGCAGAAAGAACCGATGCTCATGCAGCGTTTCATTTGCCGCCACAGCAGTAGCGTTTCATTATGTTTACGCTGGAGTTTTTGGGCACTTACATGGGATCTTGAACCTCAATTTTTACTGGATTCGGATTGTATTTTTTTCCAGATATATTTATTTTCCCGGTTCTTCCAGATCGCACTTTTTTCCGAGATAGTGCAGTTGCTTTTCATGTTTCTTTTTTTTTTTTGAAACCTGTTGAGATTTTATTGTATGAGATGATCTGGTTGTAGCGTCGTCTAGTGTCAGTGTGTGTCTTACTTGTTGCGCAGATGTCCCAACTGGAGCTCCGGTGCGAGTCACTGCAACGACAGCTGGAGGCACAGGCGGAGCAGCAGACTTCGCTGGCTGCAGCCTGGGAGCGGCAGATCCGAGAGGCCCAGGAGCGTGCCGCAGCGGAGGCGGAGCGTTCACGCAAGTCCACAGATGAGCTGGTCGATGCTTACGCGCAGCTCCATCAAGCTCGACAAGAAGTATGAGTGCTTTTCATTTACTAGGGATGGGCAAGTAGCAATTTTGTGGTTCATTGCAAAGTTCAAGGGAATAGTGGTTTGGGCGAATAATTTCGTGTTGAATAGTTCGAATGTTGCATTTACAGTGAAATCTCGTTACTACGAATCTCGAGGAACCGCTAACAATAATTCATTATGTTGAAAATTAATTGTAGTGAAAGTATTACACATTTGTGCTAAAATTGTAAATGCAACCCTATGAGTCGCCTACCTGTGTCGTGTATGCATTCGCGACCACACGAAATATTGCGGAACCAGTGCAGGTTTATTTGAGTAAGAACGGGATCTATCCTGATGTGGGAAGTTCAACTGCTGAGTGGGAATATAGGTCCTTAGTTTCTGTAGTCCTTAGTTTAGGTGACCAAAAAAAAAAAAAGAAAAACAACCCATGGCTGCCGAAACACATTGATTTACGAATTGGGTGCACCACGCCCCGATTGTCGGAGCTCCCCTTAACCACCATTGCGACTGTTCGTGTTCGTCAGACGAAGCACCACTGTCTTCGAAAGACGAGTTTGTCGCTGGCTGCCTCCCACTGTGCGTTGTCTTCAGTGCCATCCAGCGAGTTGCTGATGCAACATTTCTTGAAAGCATTTTCTACCATGGAATCTGGTAACGAACGCCAAGCGGAAAGCACCCAGTCACAGGCAGACGCAAGTGGAGTCCACTGTAGACAGCCCGTTGTTGCTTTAAGTTGTCGCCAGACATCCATTCTTGGTACTCCAGCCGCACTCGGTCCTTGAACGCCTTGTTTAGCACAACATCGAGCGGCTGGAGGGCAGACATCATAACACCTGGTGTCACGGCAAGGTCCGTCTTTCCATCCCCGAGTGCACATTTCACAGCATTGGTCAGGTGATCATGGAACGCATCTAGCACCAGTATGCTGCGAGGACGCAGCAGTGCACTTGGCCGACGGTTCCAGACTACTCGTATCCGTTCGAGCATCATGGCCTCGTCCATGTATCCCTTTTTGTTCACGCGAACGCCAACACCGGGCGGGAACACTTTCTACGGCATTGTCTTAAGTTTGAAAATGACGAAGGGCGGAAGCTTTCTACTGTCTGCTGTGCATGCCAGCATGACGGTGAAGCCCGAGTGCTCGTTGCCAGTGGACAGCAGGTTCACATTTTTGGTATCATGCTTCGTGATTGTGGTCGACGAAGGCATGTCAAACCACATGAGGGTCTTATCGGCGTTGCCAATCTGTGCCATCATGTAGTTGTTCAGCTTCCAAAGCTGGTTCACCAAGCGCTGAAAGTTTATATCATTGTGCTCGAACTCCTCCAGCAACTTCTGACAGATGGATGTGCGCCGCTGGAGAGAAAATTTTATGTGCCTCATGAATTGACGCAGCCAAGAGTTTGGTGCACGAAACTCTTCTCTCGTGAGCCCAGCTTCTTGAACGACTTCCACGGCCTTTTTTGTGAATGGAATCCACGGTCACTGGTAGCGAGCGCGCACGAACTTCCCACAAAAAGTCTGCCAGCGTATCTTCCAGCTGCAGATGAATTGCACTTCGCCCATGAAACGACATTTTTTGAGGATCGCACATCGGCAGCTTTCCTTTCTGCGCTCTCCAATAGTGCACACTTTTTTCGATACACCAAAGCGGTGCTGGGCATTCATGTTGCAGTTTTTTTCCGTAAACTCAACAACATTTAGTTTAAACGCAGCTGAGAACCGCCTCCTCGTACCACTACTCATATTCAATGAACAAAAAAAAACAAACAAACTAAAAATCAAAGTCAAACGCAAGGTCAAGCGAAGTGAGAACTTTGAACAGATCAGAAGCAAATCAGAGACACATAGAAGATAGAGGTAAAAAAAAAGCCTGCTATTGAATTTTGATGTGGATATGGCGGTGTCCAGCTTCTCATGCACATGCAAGCCACATGTTGCCACACAGTGGCGCACTGTCGGCTAGACGTCGCTATATAAGACAAGGGGGTACTTTAGCTTGTTGTTTTATTTAAGATATTATGACTTATATTCTGGTTTATACGGTACTTGGTGTGTGCTGTTTAAACGTTGTCTTCGTTCTCGTCGTCGTTTCCTTATCACAACTAATGAATGATGTGGAACTTATTGGTTGTCAGCTGAGCTCACGTGCACGCTTTGTTGTCGCACTGTGCATAGTGTTCAAGTGAAACGAGCTTGAGTAGTCATTGGTGGCTTTATTCCATAGGTCACTCGCGTCGCCTGCCGTAGCATTCCTTTCGTGCTGCTTCCAGGTCTCATCTTGAACGTTCTGTCTCAAACCAAAAGGCTAGAAAAGAGCCGTGCAAGAAGCATGCAGGTGCTGTTGCAGAACTGCCCGACGAAGACATGCACCATAAGCAAGTACCAGGCGATGATGATGGCGATGGGGCTATCGCACATTTGAGTAGGGCAGGGCACTTAGAAAAATATGCGGGTGCTCTGATGATGATGATGATGATGATGATAGGGACGGCTACAGAACTGGGTATTCATATTATAACTTTTTCAGCCCCCACAATATACAGAACAAGAAAGAGCTTTCTTGTTCTTTATTTTGTGTGTACTAAAAAAAGGTGTAATATGGGTACATACCAACTCGCCCAGCTATTTCTTTTACTGCGAGCTGGATATTATTTCCGCTACCACGAGTCACTTTTTAAAGGGGCTTGGCAACATTTTTTTTAGCGTGGTCAGAAAACGGTGCCAATCGGTAGTAGAGGCTACCGACAACACGCGAGCAAAATATATTATAGCGCAGCACGCGCCCTGGAATTAACACTAAATTATCAAAGTCAGCTAAAAATTGCTTTCTCTTCTCTCGACAAATCGCGGAGTATACCCAAAAATTACGCGTAGCAAGCCCACTATCAGCCATTGGCTGATTTGAACATGGCGCGCTCGCTCGTTACGGAGATCGCCGCAAAAGGCTGCTACTTGTCCACGTGTGCGTGCGCGATCACCCTGAAAAAGTTGCGCATTGGAGTTGAAGAAAATGAAAAAAGTGCTCAAGGTCCCGAGACACACGTGACGTTTTTTTGTGGCCCTGCCATCTTTCCCTGTTTAGCTTCCAGCGCTATAGTCGGGACGAGAGAAGGGAGAATGTAATTGCAGCATGGGACAAACCTTATGTAACTCCACTCACACTGGATGGATGCTTAAAATTTTTGCGGCGTTGTATTCGTGAGGCAATAAGCTCTTCCAGTGAGTTTATTTCATGGTTACTTGAAAAGGTATTTCACGGCACCTTTAAGATCGGTATTCGTTATTTTGAAGTGTTGAGGAAATACAGGGTGGATGAAATACGATACGCTATTCTAAAATATTTGGTATTCTGATACTTGTAGTAGTGAAATATATTTACATTAGATCAATGAATATTTGGAGGGAGATTTTTCAAAGAGATTGTTAATCTGAGGTTCGAAATAACGAGATTTGACTTTACTTGCATAATTTGCACACTTATTTCGTGATTTTCAGGCCCCCGAGCAGGGGGTGCACAAATTACGCGGGGATTTTTTGAGCGTTAACAAAATATTGTGTCACAGTCCTAACATGTGCAGAATATATGTTAATAAATTGTAGCACAAATGAAGTGTACTTGTTAATTAAAAAAAAATTAGCAGGTACCTTGACCAGTCAGATCTGGTCACGCCCCGTATAGCGGGAATCGTTGATTGCGAAGTCTGATTGAGAATCATCGGCGCAGCGGCTGCCACCGCACTCCCGAAGCGCATCGTTCTCGGTTCTGTGAAGCGCCTTCGAATGCCCCATTTTCTGGTAGCTCTTCTCGAAAATGCTGGGAGAAACTTGGTCCAACGACACGGTGATGCCGGAATATCTAAGCATTCGCACTTTGGTGACCCCGCTACTCACCGTAGCGGACGATCACCGCGGGTTCACGCTTAGCGAGCCACAGGGCCGCGACTCCGTTTACTCGCGTGTAGCGGGGCAAACAGACAGTGTTCTAATGCAAAATTCACAACACTTTATTGCCTCTGGCGGCACCCGGAACAACAGTACAACGTCTGCTCCCGGCACGCGGGTAGCAAAGGCACCCACACACGGACGTTCACAATAAGGGGAAAACCATGAGCACGTTGCATCTGGCAAAGGCGAGCTTTGACCTGCCGGTCGGGAAAAGGTCCCTCGCGGCTATGCTGCGCACTCTCACGATGGCCAATGGGCCTGGTCGCGAGTGTTAGGGCAAACCTTGTACGCGTAGGCCTACGGCAAGTGCGGCTCGGTGTGGTACGACCACTTGAAGCACTAGGAACCGCTGTGGGCTTTGCGTACGGTACCGAAGCTAGCACTCAAGTAAACACGCCTGCCGAGGTGTCCAAGGCCACCCCAGGCAGGCTACAGTCCGGCGATTCCCAAAGGGGAAGTAAACGAAGGAAAACACGTGCTTACCCGGCGCCGACCACGGAGGAGAGAGATCAGCTCCCTCGTCGCGCACATAACTCGTGCCGCCCGCACATGACGCTATCTATCGCCACGTGCCGTTAGCAGAGCAGAAAAGCAAAAGGCTGTGGCCGTGTGGCGGAATGCCCGCGAAATGGTCGTGAGCGCGCCTCAGATCCCCAAATCCTCCTCTCCTTAATTCACCTTATATACCGGTCTGCAAGAGCAGCCGGTCGTCGCCCATGCATGCAAAGGCGTCATGCAATGGGCAACAGCTAGCCTCAGCCTAGCTCTGCAACTGCTGCTGAAGAAAAAAATAAAACAACACAAGAATACACTTGAGGAATACAATGGCGCCGCAGAAGAGGGGTAACGGGAGTTCATGATGCTCACGCAAGAGCGCGTCCACGGCTCGGAGGGGCAGCGTCACGTAATGTTTGACTTGGGTGACTGCGTGGATGCGAGAGTGCAAGGCGAGGGTTCTGGTTGAGTCCCTCATGCGTGGAACGGGCTCACCTTCGTCTCGTCGATCTTGACGACAGCCCTGCGAGTCTGACGAACGCCGCCTCGGTGGAGGT